CGACAAAAATTGTCACTAATTTTTCATCTGATTTCATACTAAAATCAGATAAATTTTGGACAAAAATTCCACAGGTATATTCTTGTAAAATATCGAACTGTTTGAGTCAATTTTGCAATCTTGGAATGGAGTTAAGTTCGCTCGTCCAGGAAAGAACGATTTACAGACAGCGTTTAACCTTAAACTCGCAGTAGAATTTACCTTGAAGTTTTTGAGATTTTGACCCATAGACCAACTCTCTACCAGTCAATGCACGTGTTTAATTACGAGGGACTGCATAGACCTGACCTCACTAAAGTTGTATCAGAAATTTTTACGCACAGTTTTACTGCACTTGGGAATTTGTAATACATATGAATTTTGCAGAAAGGAACCACTTTACCACTAGCATTGCAATGTTGCCAAGATTGTTCATCGTCCTTTATTTTGTAAGAAAAACATCAATATTTAAACAGTCTGAATTTGCGAATCATACTAATGTTAGAGATTTATGCGTAATTTTCATTTTTTGATCTGCTTTCGGTGAGAAAAACTTAGCAACGTGCCAAAGCTAGTAGCTCTTTATTGCATAAGTCGTCCGTATGACCCTCACCCCAGGAAATTTTCGGAGAGACGACGGACACTTGGGAAAAAAAATATCAGATGTTTTCAAAAAGCACCCAGGTCAAAATTCACATTCGAAGAGCTCATAAATGTACTAGGGGGCTACGCCCCCTGGCCGCTACGCGGCCCAACCCCCTGAAGGCGCTCCGCGCCATCAATGGGCCGCTTCGTGACCCTATTTTTACCTTCTATCAGTGTTAGTTTCATTTCTTTCCTAAAAAATTACGATATGAGGTATACTTTAATTTCAGAATGAAATAATTTTTGGTTTTAATGAATAAAGAAATTTTTTTTTGAAGTCAAAAGGACGCATTTTGGAATGACTGCTTGATGAAATATTGCAGTAAAACAACGATTTACGATGATCAATTTATAATTAAGATAATCTGGAGTCGGGGATCGAACCCACGTCGGAATCATGATGGACGCATTCGACGTCTTAGACGCCTCGGCCATCGCTTCTCTTGAGGAAACCAGTGCGAATCTTGTGTAGATAAGTGTAGAGCTGATGCGCAGTATTGCGCAGGCTATACAGCTACTGCGCTACCTCCTCAACCACTGCGCATCCTCCCGCAGTCCCGCGGATAGCGGTAGCAGTCCCGGAGCATTCTGTAAACTCACTCACTTTTATAACGTGATTTTAAAAAAACCTGGGTCCTTTTTCCAAAATCTGATTAGAGCGGGCTCATCTAGGGCCTATTACCTGTCGATTTACGCAAAAATCATGGAAATCGGCCCAGTAGAATGCTCAAACGAACTATGACAAAACATAAAAATTTACATTGTTTAAATGGGAGAATTCGCAACTTTACCACGTAATATAAAAAAACCTGGGCCATACTTTGAAAATCTAAAAAGAGTTGGCTTATCTAAAGACAATTGCCCGTCGATAGCCGCAAAAATCATGGCAATCGGCCCGGTAGAACGCTGGAGCTAAGCGTTACCAGTTTCGCAAAATTAGGAGGTCTCGGAGCTTATAGTATAGATGTATCTGATCGAGTTTGTTAAAATTCTCGTGAGAGAATGAAACGGGCAATCGGTCACCGTTAGCTACAAGCGTTGCCTACGAGAATGGAGAGGCCGTAACTAGTCAGTTCTGTGACGTCAAGCTAGTAGATATTTACCGAAAACAACAAGCATCTCCGGGTCATCAGTGCATCGATGAGTGAGGCAGTCGCTGCGTGGACCAATCAGAGTGGCTCTCGATCGGCCGAAGTTGCGCGAGCGGCTCGTTTGAATCTGAGTGGAGTAACGATTTTCGGTATTACGCATTCATTTCCTCGATATTTAGACAATGTCACAAATGAACTAGTTAGTTTTCTAAAGTAAAATTTCATCTTCTTTCTAAACGGTTCTTATGAAATTTTGCGTCAGATCAACCCTGAGAGAGATATCGGCGAGAAATCATCGCGCGGCAAGCGTTCTCCCATAAGAATGCGTGTTAAACCGCGGCCGAGTTTCATCTACTAGTGTGACGTCACAGAATCGTAGTTACGGCCTCTCCATTCTCGTAGGCAACGCTACAAGTTGAGTTAGGGAGACCAAGCAACAATTGTCACGTCCACAGTTCTAAAGCCCACACTATTGTTAAGTCTATGACTTAAACGTTCACAAAGTTAAGTCCACAAATGTAAAGTCCACTAAAATCAAATTCTAGCGTCATATTTTAGTCCGTGTGTAAAATTATATTGACAATATCGAAATGAGAAAATGAAGAGAGAATGAGGTGTTGTTATCGTAACTCATATTTTAAATGAAATGTTAATTTCTTCTTTTGATTCATCTTTTCAAATTGTCTTTGGTAAATACTTGGTTTCATTTCTATCCTTGAAATTTCCGATCTAAAATATGCCTTGAATGCACATTCTTTTTTTTAAATGAAATTGATTACTTCATTATAAAAACAAATCACAACGAACAATCAATGCAGAGAGTGGAAACATTTCAAAATCATGAGTTGAAAAACGCTGACCCCGCGAGTTTAAATATTAGAGCCTAACACAGAGTGGAGCGGCGTGTTAGTAGCGCAGAACGCGCACTGGCGCCTACAAACCTAACGGGATACTTCACGCATTGCGCAGCGCGTGAAGTATCCCGTTAGGTTTGTAGGCGCCTATGCGCGTGTCACGCTGGTTCCCTGCCGCGCCGCAACGCTGTAAGCAACTATTTCGCGTCGGAGGCGTTGCACAGTACCCTACAAGATTGAAGGTGCACGAAATAACTAGTTAAAGAGGACTTTCAATTTTGACTGCATCTGTTACTGAAAAATGTTTAATTTGGCATTGGAGCGTTTCCTAGGCTCCCGCTTTGGTTTTCATCTTATCATATCCGTACAGTGTACACATGAACAAATGTTTTTATCTGCTCTTAGAGTCTGTTCTCTTTCATGACTTGATTCATGAATGAAATGTTTTTAAGAATGAAGGAGCTCTTCACCTCTCTTAATTTAAAAATCTAAATTTTCGTATATACTCCTATTTTCTAAATTCTCAGTAAAGCCGTTAATAGCATGTGACGTTGAACGCCTCAAACTAACTAACTAACTAACTAACTAACTAGTAGTAGTATGCATTTATTCTTGAGGTGGTTCTTGTCATTTAAATGAGAAGGAAAAAATGTGGACATTACATGTCCACAATTTGGACAATTTTGGACATACTCATGGTTGGACATTAAATCATGTGGACTTAATAAAGACTGGACTTAACGTTTAGTGGACATAAATAGCGGTGGACATTTATTTAATGGACGAAAGGTAGGTGGACACAAAGTCCTGGAAGCATTTTATCGAAGAAGTCCTCAACAATTGAGGAATTCTTTGAAAAAAAGGGCGTATAAGACTTGCAATGCTGCCAAGATTGTGCCACTTCGGGCATCGTTTCTAGTGGAACAGTTCAAAAGCCTTACTGCTTAGGATTTTTTTTCTGAAAAAATCTTATTTTTAATTTATTTTTCTGTGAAAATAATTACATGTGCGTGTAACTGAGTTCGTTGCAAATTGTATACCAAGTCGCACAATCTCACAATCAGTAGCATTGCAAGTCTTATACGTCCTTTTCCCAAAGAACTCCCCAAACATTATGTTATATTTGCTTTCGTTCTATTTCTCTTTAATCGTTTCGTTTCGCTTTGTGCCGGATTTATATTTCGATCAATCGAATGACGTGGTCATCGATGCAGTTATCGATGAGCCCATCAGCTGCGCAGGTATCGCGTTGCCCACCTTTATTTGCCGGTTCTTCGGTTCTAATTCTGAAGAGGTGGGTTAGAGAGTCGAAGAAATGATAAAGAACTTGCCGCGGTTGCAATGCAGCAACGATGGGAGATTATTCCCAACTTGTGCGGGGATTTTCGGGGAAATTTTCCCTAGTATTGGCAACTTTGTCGAGCGAGATCGTTATCGGTGTATCTTCGCTTCGGTTTCGGCAAGGTGACAACAAACCCCCGCCGGCCATCGGAGCATCTGTGATAAGAATTCCAACGTTGCCAGATTAAAGATAAAAAAGGAAGTATATCGCTTAAGCTAATAAATTGAGGCATTTTTCGGTAAAAGAGCAAATGAGGTTTGCAATGCTGCTAAGATTGTATGCCATTTTTCATAGCGTTTGCGGCAGATGAAATTCATTCACAGTCTACTTACCTCCGTACAAATAGTGCGGAAAAACCGGTAGCAAATTCAGGTAAAATTCATAGCAGAACTGTTGAATAAGTTACTTACAACTGGACGTATTTATGCTAAAAGGAACTATGTGCATAGGGTTTACGTGCCAAATAGTTCCTTTTAGCATAAATGCGTCCAGCTAGAGAACTACCTTGCACAATCTTAGCAGTATTACAAGTCTCATACGCCCTTTTACCAAAAAATGCCTCAAGTTTAAAATGTAGAGATGTTTTATCACGACAAGCCCTATAGTTCCAGCAGTTCGAAATACCCGCGCATGCTCTATTTTCCGGAGGAAAATAGAAAGGTTTGAAATGTTCCACGATTTTTCTTGGTCATCTTGGAAAATGTTTTACTCAATTTTGAATGCACGGTACAGCTGAACATTTTCAGCGCCAATTTTCTTATTTTCGTCCCATTTGGCAACTGAGCACCGTCCTGCTGGTCCATGATTTCAGCCATTTTCAGGTCCTCAGTCTGTCGTGCACGGTTTGTCCTGTTCAAATGACGATTTCTAACCGTACTGAAAGCCAGTTGTTTCGTTCCTCCCGCAAGACGCGCGTTTTCGACTACGATTTCAGGCCTTTTTCGGCCGATTTGTTTTCTTATTTTGCTTGAAGTTGTTTTTTGATTTATCAGAAGTTATATTTTAGTTGAGATAGCGGATTTTTCTGTGTTGATCCACGATTTTTTCCTCTTGCCGAACACGGTCTGACGATGGTTTATATTCTTCCAGGTAATGGAGTCGTCAATGGCGTTGACCCGTTGCCTGCCGCGGAAACCAACGGAGTGACCAACAAGGATAGGAGAAAAAAGAAGGTAAGGTTTTCCCCTTTATTTGCATTTTCCTCGTTTTTCACGGAGCGTAGCTCTCGTTTAACCGTTGTTTTATCATACCGGTCTTCGGTGGATTCCATCATAAAAATGAAACATGAGCAGAGGTACGATGGTTTGACTCTGGCGGCCTTGAACAATTGATGAATGTACGATTGAGAACTTTTCAAGACGAGTGTTCGATCGACAACTTTTCCCATGTAAATTCCAGGGTTTCGAAGTACTTGAATTTAATGTAGAGTTCACGTCCACTGACTTCCCTCTCTTTTTAATGATGTGGAAAATCCGTCATCTTGTTTTTCGTATTTACTTTAGTGCAAAAATGCAGATGGCCTGTTCTATGTCGCATTTTATTCGGTGAAATATTTTGGCTTGGATTTTAGGTACCTCGAAGTGTTTTAATCCTTGCTGTAAGATAATTTTTAGAATTGATTATTAGTGTTTTGACGAATCTTCCATAAAAAAAAAATGTTTGATGTCCCAAAGAGCCTTGTGATTATTACGGAGCGAGCGGAAATGTTAGGAAAGTGAAAAAATAGTGACGTAAGGAGATAAGGAAGAGGATTGTGACTTTTGTGATAAGTGAAAACGTAACAAATACAAGATTCGAGAGAATTAGAAGGTATCCTTATGATAAGAGGAGAGTTGGTGAAATAATTTTTTGTACAGTAGTAATAAAACATAGAAAGTTCAAATGTTAAATGCATTAGAGGGATAAGGACTGAGGAGTGCTGAGAAATATCCTATTTACCAGAAAAGTGAGGGTTGACTGATTTGAACAGAGAATCGTTAATGGGAAATGAGGCTTTGAGATGAAAATTCAAAAGAGTTTTAAAAGGAAGGTAGTCTTCGAGCAGACACAACAGAGATAAGAGATAAAGAACAAGAGTAGGCTGTTTGAATGTGCTAGAAACAAAACAGGAAAAACAATGAAACTTTCAGTCGAGACAAGATAGCACTTTTACTTCATAAGTGAACGTCCTGACCGTAACATGGTGGATATTTTTCTCAACGACAACTCATTATTGTTGTTGACTTTTCATAGGCGGACCCAGACACCTCGAGGGGAGGGGGGGGGACGTAAGGGTGGTCCGGGGGGCCTCTCCCAGAAAAGCTTTGAATTTTCGAAGCAGTTTTTAAAACTGCAAGCAGTACTGAATTTTAAAGGGCGGTCCGAAAGTACTGAAATAGTGCGGATTTTGCAAGTAAGTCCGGAATGTTTATCATTTTTGTCGCAATTTGAGAGAGAAATTCAAATTTTTGAATTTCGTCAAATGGAGGTACTGAAAAAGTACTGAATTTTTCCGTTGAGGAGGTACTGAATTTCTCGGGAATGTACTGTAAAAGTACGGATTTTTGGCTAGCCCGTTTTAGTAGACACTCTGTTCTCAGATGAACCAGAAGTAGTAGCTCCTTATCGCAGAAAGTCCAATCATAACCTTGTATAACAGTCCATTCCAGGAGCGTATGAACGGTCCTCGGTCAAACTATGCTCTGCATAGTGAAGATTTTCAAACGCAGAATTTAAAAGAACATGAGAAGGCATGACCACCTGCGGGTCGATTGTTGAATCGTTATCGAATGATTCTGATCGATAACTCCCTATCTTCACAATGCTATATATCGATCAAGGTCATTCGATAACGATTCAACAATCAAGGAGCTGCTCGCTTCGCCTGTACAGCTAGAGATAAAGGAGAGCGACCCTCAGTAGGGTCAGCGTCAGCGAAGTTGGGCCTGAGTGTCAGGTTCACGAGTGGGAGCACCAAAAGATTTAGAACTTCGCACTTGAATCCCTCCATTAATATTCATATCCAGTGATTAGAATTGCGCGTTTGTCTTGCCGGTGCGCTATTTTAACTTTCGTAAATAGTTCGCTTCAAAATATAATTTATTCCAAAGGCCTCTCATTTCAAGACGCATGCGACGTTTAGCTTGATGTTATGGATCGGTCAGTTACGAAAGGGCTCAAGCGCCAAAAATGAGAATTCGAGAAAAATTGTACTAACCGTTTTGTTTGACCCCTCCTAAAATTCAGAGCTCTAAAATACTTAAGCGATGGATTAATTAATCCCATTATTAATTAAGCTGCAATTTAAAACGCGTTAATGCATACAGTTTCTACTGTTTTTCTCGTATTCGTGTATCTGGCGCTAGAGGCCTTTTGCAACTGACTGATTCGTTTGTAGTTGCTACAGTAGTATAACTTTAAGTCTGCAGAAATGAAGAGGAGAAGTTAAAAACGTGGTAAGCGCCATCAGGTGTACCCAAGTTTGTATCTAACTCTTTCTTTCGCTCACCAAGAATCCTGATGCTAGAGAGTAATGATTCTGTCCTAAAAATATGATCAACATATTCGTATGAAAATTCTATGAACCGGAAGTTTTTCAGTTTTTCTGAAGTGAGAAACACCATGCGCAATCTTCCTACTACCTGATGGCGCTTACCATGTTTTGAATTTCTGCTACACTGATAAAAATATTAGTGACCTTGTGCTACTTTTTGGTTAATATAGGAAATGAAACACAAACCAATCCTTTTGTGTTGGTTTTGGTTCAGTCTGCGGTTAATTTTCACGGAGAAAAAAATTCATGCGTGGGACCCGAAGTTGAGGTCATATGGATCTCTGAAGTTTTCAGATCACGTATCTAAAAACTTGAGGTCCAGCTGCCGAAGTTCGAGTCAGACATCTGAAGTACTTCGGTATATACCGAAGGGTTCGGGTCACACATCTGAAGTACTCCGGTACACACCAAAGTGCCTCGATGTCTGACCCGAACTTCGGCAGCTCGACCTCAAGTTTTCGGATGCGTGATCAGAAAACTTCAGAGATCCATATGACCTCAACTTCGGGTCCCATGCACGAAGTTTTTTTTCTCCGTGTAGCGCAAATAGCAACTGAGAGACTGAGAAATCTCAGGGTCAACCAAAGGCTTGGGTTATTTTGTGGTTTACTTCCCGTATTAACCCAACTTTGGTGTTGGGTTTTCTCTCTGTGGAATCAATAATTGTTGGATCGAACTAGCCTATGTTGGATCTCCAAGAACACTTACCTATCTCAATCGCAGCGCCGCGCCGTATCATTTCTGCTCCTCAACATGGTTTCCGAAGGGAATCAAATCTACACTATTGCTTGTGATTCGGAAGTCAACAGTCAAAGACAGGGACCTTTTTTTATTTTTATTGGAAAATGACTGCTGTGTCAGCAGTGTCTGCATTCCTGTTTGCAGCGCAGCACCGAATGAAATCCTATGTCGGACCAAGTAATTTTGCTCATCACTAAAGCACCTTTTACGTGTTTTGGTAAACGTTGATGGTGGCGCCTTTGAAATTCGATGTCGATTCCGATCTACCGTTGAGAAACTGGATCGAATTAAACGGAAAAGAGCTAAATCACATTCGGGGAAGGAACTAGGAGTAGTTTTGAGCTTAACTAGCCGTATGTCTTTTTCCGTCAAAAACATAAAGATGAGAAGAAATATTTCGAAAGTGGAGTAGGCGTTGGTTCTCAGGTCTGCTGCTGAATCTTACGGAAGGATAAAATTTCAAAACCTCTTCTTCTCGATTCGATCTTCTGTAGGCTGGTTGTTTAGATTGGTAGACAAAGCTTTAGACGAAAGAGGCGAAAGGGATGTGGAGGGATCCTATTGGTGGAAGCGGTTGGTCACAATGGACAAAGAAGGTAGGTGATAGACTAACTGACGGCAACCCACGAGAGACCCTATAGTTTGTCCATTTACCCACTTAGTCTCAGGAACCACCAATTTCAACCAACAGTATCGCTCCGTACTCCCTACGTCTTTGTGTATCGCTTTATCTATCAATTTAAAAAATCAGCCTGCTGGATCTTTCTCTGATCGATCGATCAGCGACTTGATTATTTTCTAATTACTTAATTGGACGTATTTATGCGAAAAGGAGATATGTGGAAGTGGAAAGATGGGGTGTGCTCGTTAGTGGTCGGGCCATAAGAATGAATGGGGAATATTGTGCGCCAGTGACGTCAGCGGCAGTGAGTGCGCACTCTAACGGCGGGGAGATGGTCGTCGGGGCGCTGTAACTCGTGAGCCCTGTCCACAACGCTCTCTTCCCATGCCCGCGGCTCATGAGTTAGCATATTTTGCCGCTTAGCTCCTTTTGATTTAATAGAAAATCCCGCTTTTCAATTTTCTCAAAAGGAGCTATATCCACTTTTACATTGTTTCTTATGACCCAACTAACGAGCACACCCCATCTTTCCACTTCCACATATCTCCTTTTAGCATAAATACGTCCAATTTTACCTAATTATTTCACTTAATCAAAACCCGAAGGAAGGTGTAAAGGCAATATGACTTACACCCTGTCACGACTTTATCGAACGCAAAGTTTGCTGTGTTTGGTTTCATCTCAACTACCTCGACAATTTCCTGCCTGATTGTGTATGTATCGCGCTCGATCAGTAATTTTTCTCCCGCTAGAAATACCCCGTAATACATAATTGGAACCATTTCGTTCAGTTTTTCTCATACTAAGAGTTAGGTTTACTATCGCAAGAATACAGTTTTCCTGGGCAGTTTCTGGTTGTGCCAATGAAAATACGAAGTCACGCTATGAAAGGGAGTAAGCTTATTTTAAAAATATTACAGGATCCATTTGACTCCCCGAGCAGATAGGCGATTCTACCGTTGAGACGGAAACATGGAGACTCCTTGTTTCGAAATGTTGCTCAAATATTGTCGTGTTTTTTAGGAGGACAATTAAATTTTAATCGTAATAGGTGCGTGACAGGGGAGGGAAACAGTCCAGCATGCACGATGTCACGCAAAAATTGCTACGAAGCGTAGACTTCTTGATAAGTTTTGGATAATTTTGTCTATAAATAAAAGCTACTAATAAGTTCATATTTTATATGAGAAGAGAGGATTGAAACCCGCAAGCAAGGTGCGTGACCGGGAAGGGGGGGGGGTGTCCCTTATGTATGAAGTCTCGAAAAATCTGTGCGTAAGATGTCGATCTCTTGATATTTCTTGGTTATTTTTGTGTAAAATAGCGTCATAAAAGCCTGTATTTTACTTATGGAGGGTGATACAGATCGAGAGGTCGAGGGTCCGACTTTCGTTACGCCACGCTAAAATCTGTGAAGTGTCGATTTTTTGAAAAATCCAGGGCCAGAGGCGGACCAGTAATTTGGCAACACCGGATTCCCTCCATTTAAACCTATGTTAAACAATCGATTCTTGTCGGAGCACCTGGCCCCTCCAAGAATCGATACATTTCCATAGGTTTAAATGAAGAAAAGCAATGTTGCCACTTTGCTGGATCCGTCAACGTCGAGGGCGCATGCACAAAAAGTTGTCAGTCCCTTGACAATCACAGTCGTAACGGTCTGCAACCATCCGAAATAAAACGGTAGAAGCTTCTCTAACAGCCAGATTTGGAGGAAAAGCATTTTCAGTCGTTGATCGTTGCCCTTTCGAGCTCGAAAGTTTGTCAAACAGCTTTGTGTGGCTTCCCCGAGGTGGGAAAAGTCCAAGCCCATCGTTTTGCTTTATTTTTCTCCTCCCTTTGCTGAACTTTCTCTAACGCTCTGTTTCCTTTTTCAGGACTTGGCGGATATCGGAGATTGGCCGCCCCTAGAAACTGCAATCAATGTGTCAGAGGTAAGCTTAATTTTAACGTATTTCACCTTCATTCAATGAACCATACCGAAACAGACCCTAGCAATCATATACAATGTATTCGCGTCCTTAAAAACATAATGAATACACATGAAAATAATGTTTAGTATGTTTGTATTTTACGCCTTTAAATTTTTTATCGTTTTTTTTTTTCATTCTGTTTATTTTTCGTTTTCTTCAGTGTGGTACTAGTTTTAATAGAATGGAATAATTTTGATTTTTCAAATTTTCAATTGTTACAAATTATTAGTCACAAATTATTAGTCACAAATTTTTAGTAGTTTCGCCAGAGCCTCCCTAAGTTTTTCCTTAACAGCCAGTCCCATCACCGCCGGTTTCGAAAGTGATACTTAGTACCAAAAGTGGTGAATACCATTTCCGAAGTTAAATTTTTCTGGTTAAATATCTATTCACTCGAAAATCGACCAATGATATTCAACCTTGGAGTATAATTGTACATGTTTGGCTCAGATTTCTCACAAAACTGATCAAAATATGTGCTCAGGACGAATTATAACCAGGGATGAAAAACTGGCTCTTAGAACCAGTAACGTTCTCCGGAAAAGTTTCCCATTATGGGTCAGCATTGCTACGCAATTACATGAAGAAGGAAATTTTGAAATCGCCATCAGAAGTGCTCGAAACAGTACCAAAAACCTTTTTTTAAAACAACTTCTTCACTCGCTAAAGCCTCCTGAACATTTTCATTTTTCCGAGCTGGTGGCTCTTCCAGTCTCCCCCCCCCCCTCCATTCTCCCTGAATCAAGTAACTTCAAATTGACTTACGACGTCCACGCCCAGGACGGCATGCAGTGCAGCAATTTTCAGGAACAAAGACAGTATTTATTTTCGTGATGTAATTAAACCTGTGCGATTATGCAGTATACCGTTACTGGATCTAAGTAATTTCTTAAAATAAAAGGAAAAATGTGTTTTTTCGTTATTATGGTGCTCGCTGTCGATGTCAATTTGTTTCTCTAAGTACCACGTGGTTTTAAAATCATTTTTTTCTCTCTCCGATTCACGTGTGCGTTCGAGTCTGCGCAGCTTATTTTATCGGGCTGTACGGAAACAAAGTAAATGCGAAACCCATTTGACTATCGCTCCGTCATTAACATGCCGACCGCTTCGAATTCGTTTGCGGGGTTTCTTCTTCTTCTTCCTCCTCCCACTCCGCGATTTTCTCGCGCGAATCACCGCTCCGACGAGAAAATGAGAGTCCTCTCGCGCATCGTACAGAACAACGATTTTCAATCGACGCTTTTACGGAAAAGAAGTCTTTCTTGTATCCACACAGGGAATAATGCCATTGTAGATGTATCGATTTTCCTGAAATACTCGTAAGTCCAAGTAACCCACCTACGCTGCTCACCCTTTTAAATTCATATCATGTCCACTAAAAATCGACACGGCCACACGATCATTCAGTGATACTTAAACCAGGGTGTCTATCAGTCCGGAAATAGTACTGCTTTTTGAAGGGCGATCCAGAAGTACTGCAGAAGTGCGGAAATTTCGCAAGAAGGTCCGGAATTTTTTCCTTCATGCTACGCCTATCTTTTAATAAAGCGCGGAAAGTATACAATACCCTGCGCGTTGATACTCTGAGTATAGTATTTGCCCGCAAGATCGTTATTATGCAGTTAGTTAATCTTCAAGCCATACTTATGTTTAGTGTCTGCGTCATTTTTGTCGCAATTCGAGTGATAATTTCAACTTTTCGAAATTTTTCGAATTTAGTCAAATGGGGGTACTAGAAAAGTACTGCATTTTTCTTTTGAGGGGGTCCTGAAAAAGTACTGTAAAAGTGCTGATTTCTGGCCAGCCTGTTTTAGTAGACACCCTGTAAGCAAGCAGCCTCGATTATTCCTAGTCCGTGAAAAGTGAATCAGGACTATAGTGCGCCCCACAGTGAATCGAATCAATAGGAGAGATCGGACAAAATTTGGAAACTTTGAAAGTTCATAACTCCGTTCATACACAACTTTAAGGCCTCAAAAGTAGTTCCAATGGTTTTCTTGTGAAATTCTCTTTCAGACACACCCCTTATACTTTAAAATGTGACAAAATAAACACCAAAATTCTCAGTTTTAGTCAAGAATTTCATGTCTAACTTCCCTAATTGACTCGATCCACTGTGCGCCCGCCGGATCAAGTGTCGAAATTGCAGCATTTTCCGAGTACCGTAAATTGAATTTATTTGAGAATCTCATACTCTCGGACATGTCTGCGACTCTCGCGCAACGATCTGCTTCATCATCCCGATGTATGAATACTTTAAAATGTCAAGACAGCACTGTAAAAAAAAAAAACTCCCAGACTCAAAGAATGTATAGGCGCACCGTAGTTAGCATTCGCACTTTGATCATGAAATCGTTTAAAATGCTGTTCGTCTCGGAAAATTGCTCGAAGTTGTTTCCGCGAATTGTCGATTATCGATCAGTATTCAGCATGCATATCGACGTTGAGAGTTTGAGACGAAGAAATATACGCACCTCAGTAACTGACTATGCAGACTCGTTGTCGCACTTTATTTGTTAGATTAAAACCTATTCAACGTGATTTCTTGAAAACTTTCTTGATGTTTTTCGTGCAGATAATTCTCTGTGAAAATGTCAAGCGTGCAGTTGCATTATGCCCCGACGATGTTTGGCCCTAAATGTCAAATGTGGCTGATGAGATTTCAAAAGGCCTTTTCGCGAAATTGAATTTTTAGATTTTAAACCGCTAAAATTCCAGTTCGGTTCTACGATTATAGGTCCGTTAGGGGACGCCCCTATACATTACGTAACGCACTTTTTCGGCGTTTTTGTCCCCCCCCCCTCCCCCCATGTAACGCTTATGTGACGTAGGTCCCTATCCTTTAATACGTAAAAGCAAAATAGCGTAACCAGGGTGTCTTCAAGTCCGGAAATAGTATACTGACTTTTTAAGGGCGGTCCGGAAGTACTGAAAATGTGCGGAAATTTTGCTAGAAGGTCCGGAACGTGCATCATTTTTTGTCATTTCATTTATATTTCTTCTTATTGCAATTTTTTTGGTTAGGCTATGATCAGTTTTGTTGATGGTGTTGTTTTGGATGACAGACATCGCAGGATTTATTATCCTCAATATCATTCGTTTGGGTGCACACTTTTGTGGCACCATGGCCAGCCGACTGCCGAGGCCAGCTTATAGTCGAGTGATGTCTTGGCTCTGGGTATGAAGGGACTCTACCCCTACGAGGACTTTAAGTGATTCGTCACGTTTTCTGGCGTGGTCGAATTGGCGTACGACATATCGCATGTCAGTTCAACCACGCCAACAGGGTGTCTAGCGACCGGGAAAACCGGGAAAGTCAGGGAAAGTCAGGGAGATGAAATTGGTCCTGGAGAAGTCAGGGGAAGTCAGGGAAGAAAAACGCAGAACCGGGAGAGAAGCGAACTCCCGTCGAAGATCGCGATTTTTTGAATAACTTCACGGCGCTTCGATACTTAGCCGTGCAGCGCTCTCTCCTGGTCTGAGGCATGGACCAAGAGAATAAATAAGGACTCCCAACTCCCTATGCTAACCTGTGTTAAAAACCGTTAACGCGCGCTCGCAGCGAACCTGGCAGAGGGTGCGGTGAACTAACGCCACAGCGGTCCACGATCGTACCTCTATAGTATGTTATTCCATGCAATGTTCTTTGTTTATCTATGATTAATTTATTTGTGTAGATACTTTAATACATTTTACTTTCGCAAACTAATGAAATTGTATAGATACATACCTTC